AAATGAAACTTAACTGGTCACCTGAAACGATCCTGAAATCGACTGAATTTCAATTTTCTCATAAGGGTACAGTTTATTTTGGTTCTAAAACTTTACACCAAAACCAATTGAATCAATCAAAATATTACTAGTTATATAGTTTTTATATTTATATTATTTTATCATTTGGAATTAAGTGATCAATGTAACATGTTTTTTATTGCAATAAAAGGTTAAGAAATGAAGCATTTCTAAAATAATTGGCATCCTCTCTTTTCATTCAGTCTCGATGTTAGATTGTACAAATTTCTATAATAACTTTAAAACTTCTTATGAATCTCTATAAAACTAAATCAAAAAATTATAAAATCGAACTGTAATATATATGATCGGCTTGATTTATCAACTAACAAAAAAATTTCAAGTTGGTTTGGTGTAAATTTTATCAATCTCGATAAAGTTGAACTAATTATACCCTAAATGCATTCAAGTTTTTTTTTTTATTAGAAGAATTTCATAAGTTTTGTAATTTACAATTTTTTAGAAATAATAGAAGACACAAAATGAGTCTTTATTTATAATTTTTTAAATTTTAAAAATATAAATAAAATATTATAAACATAAAAGAGTCTTTTACACTTTTTTAAATGTAACTAAAAAGTCTTTTACACTTTTATGAAAGTACAAATAAATGCTATGGCTAAACACAAATATGACTTCTTCCGAATTATACTTCCATTAATGAACCAAGATCTATAGGGCTCGTTTGGAAATTAGTTTTTTTTAGTAATGATTAATCTTTTATAATAAAAAAAAACTTGTAAAAAAATAAAATCCAAGAGGTGTTGGTAATTTGCCCATTATTTGTTTTTTTGATTAAAATTGTCTTGCCAAACACTGTCATAATAGGCAACAAAAAAGATTGTAAGAGAACAGTGATTGAGACCTCTAAATTTGCACCACTAAAGCTTTGTTTGAAAGGTGGGTTGATTTTTTGAATTTTTTGGTTATTTTAACTTGGGACTAAAAAACTTGGTTTGGGATGAGCTTTTGGTTTTTTTAATTTTTTTGTGAAAGAAAGAATGTAATGATTATGATTAGATGTGATATTTTGTTTTATTAAATTAAAAAGCTTATTTTGTTTTTTGCGACTATTTTAGTCAAAAAAAAATCCTCAAACCCAACTTCTCAAATAGAGGCAAGTAGAAAAGGCTCACTGACACAGTCCACCACACATCCAACTGAGTGAGACGCTTGGCCTGAGTGAGCAAAACATCCCATTATATAGGACTTATATGAATATTAAAGCTATTAATGCTCTTAAGGCACTCTTTAGGAAGAAGGTTTCTAGGATTTTTTGGTTATTTGAATCACAAAAAATAAAATATGTTATTTTAACCACAACAAACAAAATATTACATTCAATTCATAATCATTACATTCTTCTCTCACAAAAAAAGTCAAAAAATTCAAAAAACTAAAAAATCTTTCTCAAACCAAACTTTTTACCTCAAATAAAAATAACCAAAAAAAAATTAAAAAGTCAAAAAAATAACTCAATTTTCAAACGGAGGCTAAATTAGAAGTGTAGGACATTTCTCATAGACTTTTTGTTTAATAACCACTCTATCCTATTAATCTCCACCTACCCAAAGCCAGCAGGCTATTTAGATTTTCAGAATGAACAATGCTACGTACCTCGAAATATTGAAGGCGCGAATGGCTCGAAATCCCAAAACGACGTCATTTTAAAGATTTTTTTTTATTCTCTTACCGGTAAGATAATATTTTCCGTACTATTCGCGCCATTCGAGCTCTACACATTCGAGGCCTCAATCTTTAACCTTTCAGAATATAATATACATATAAAAGACTTTGACTTGATCGTTTATCCCAATTTTATTTTTATTTTTATATTTGTTTATCTCTTCTTCTCAAATTGCAATGTTAAAACTGATCGTTTCATTAAATGAAAAAAATTAAAACTCCAAAAAAAATTTAGGTGGTATTATATGTATTAATTAATATATTAATTAATGTACTAATACTAGTTATGATATTATTATTAATTTCACTCATTAATCATATTATAAATATTAAAAAAATTTAAATTATGTCACATCATTAATTGATACATTAATTAATAAACTAATTAATGCATATAATATTATTCAAAAAGTTTTTTATAATTTACTAACAATAACATAACAAATTATATAAAATTTTAATTGGTCACAAATTTAATTATGTAATCTTAACCCCATTATAATATGATTATGGGTATATAACAATTGGAAAAAGCGGCAGACGCCCACTGGGGTTGACGCCAGCCCCCAGTGGGGTGTGATTGGCCCTTTTTATGTTTTTTTTATTTTTATTTTTATTTTTTTGATCTAATGACTAACCCCCACGTGTTGGGGGCGGTGGTGGGGGTGTTGGAGATTGGAGGGGGTTGATAACAATTGATTTTGGTCAAGTTTGGCAAGTTATCAAAAATTTAAAAAGTTGTTAAAAAGTTAAAAAGTTATTATTTTTAAAAGTCAAAAATTATGACTGTACAACTCTCAATCTTAATTTTTCCCTGCATACTAATTTATATAATTTTTTAATATACATTTTTTCATAAAAAGTCAAAAAGTTAATCCAAACATCTATAGTTTTTAACCAAAGCATCCATATTTTTTTCCACAATTTTTTATTTTAAAAAGATAAAAAATACATTTATTTATGACACCCCAAACAACCCCTTAATAATATCACATGAATCTACATTTTTTTTCTTTTATTTATTTATTTTCTGAATTCCATTCTAGATTTTTTTGGTCATTGTGTACGATTGTATTGATTATAAAAATATTAGTAAAGCTAAATTAATATTCAATGTGTTTGATTTCAGTTTTTTGAATTAAATTTTTTAAAAATTAAGTTTTTTTTTTTGTATTTTTTGTTTTTGTTTTTAGTGAATATTTTAAAAAATTTAATGGTATTTAGTGATTTTTTTAAAGATTTTTTCACAAAAATTATACTTTTTAAGTGTATTTATGTTAAGTATATATAAAAATTAAAAAAATTCAATAAAAATTAAAAAAATACAAAAAATAAAAAAATATAATTTTTTAAAAAATATTTTCAAAAAATTAAAAACAAACGTAGTGATCTTAATTTTTATACCATTTGCCACTCATATGTTATTCTTCCTAAAATAAAATAACATTAAAAAACAGAGGGGTTGCCAGTTATAAATTCTAAAAATAGGTACAAGTCAAAAGAGTATATGACCCCAATCAGCAGTTGACGTTTTAAAACCGCCTAACAAACATCTTACACTCAAAACATTTTATTATTATTATTTATAAAAAAATAAAAAAAATTAATATAAACTAAGGTTGCAAAAACAAATTAGTAATTATTAATTTAAATTTAAGAGAACCATAATCCTGCATCTCAATTGGTTCTAACTTCTCACCTACATATAGATCTTATTTCTCTAATTCAAACATGTATGCCAAAATCGAAAAAAACACTCAAAACTTCTATTTTAGACATATAAAATTCAGATTTACATTTTAAAAGTGTAACACCATACTCAAGGAGTGTAAATTTACACATTAAAAGTATAAAAGAGGTCGCTGGAGCAACGCTGAAGATCTTCTATATTATTGTGGGTGTTCTTCTTATTCAACTCTAACTTCTGATGATGTCCAAAGTAATACCGCGATGGTGATGAAGTTGGACAAAAGCGACGGCGAACATTGATGCAAATCTTACTTAGTTTGATACAGATCTAACTTTTTAAATCACATCTATGAAACGGTTGGTGATTTTTCTTAAATCGTAACTTATTTTTTTGACGAGTTTGTTATTATTATTATTATTTTTTTTTTTGTTTATAGTTTGTTGTCTGATTGACCCTTTAAAATCATGTTATTTTCTTTTTCTTGTATGTTATTTGTTTTATTTTAAAATAATTATTTTTCATGTTCTGAAAAAAAAAAAAACTTATTTCCCTACCAACAACTATCACACGAAATAGGCACACAGGTGGCACCACCAAAACACCCCTTCACGTTCACAACTTTTACAAAGGCAAGCAAACTCCACGGCGGCAATCCGAGACTCCAAAAATAACACACAACAAGCACAACTATTGACTACGAAAAGCAAAAGTCCAAACAATGACCTGGGAATGCAACATTTCATACATCTTGAAAACCGTGGTCTGATCGGTGAAGAATCTAAATATTTTATTAATATTTATATCAAATATCTCCGAATGAGATTTACATTATGTGAATTTCATATAAATCTTATACTCATATAAAATATTTAATAAAAATATTAATAAAACATTTCGACTTCCTAGCATTACTGAAATGTTTTCAATTCATTATTGAAGTTCCAAAATGTTTTCAATTCGTTATTGAAGTTCCAAAGTCAAAAAAAAATTTCAAAATGACGTGTTATACTTTGGCTTGCTAATTACTAGTCAATATGCTTCGAAAAGACTTTGACGTGGAAGGCCAATTTGGATGGAAACACATAACAATCCCACATTCATGTAATTAACAAAGAGAAGATAAACGACACAATTTTAATATATATATATATATATATACACATATATTCATGTAATTAACAAAGAGAAGATAAATGAAAACTAACTAATATGAGGCAATTAAATAGTAAATAAGTAGTGAATCACACCAGATTATCTACAACTAGCCATAAAAAACAATAAATAATAACGTAAATTACCAATAAATTATAATAGTTAGACTTAATTTCTATTAAGTACTATTAAAAATAAGTCTTGATAAAATTATCTTTAAAAATAATTTTTTTTATGACAATTTGACAATTAGTGATTTTTTTTTTTTTTTTGTCATGATTTTTGCAAATTGTTACTAAAATTTACAATTAGTAACTTTTTTTTATGACAAATTTTTTCTATAAAATTTATTAGATAATAAATCCAGTTATTAAGATTTACAAGTAACACAAAATATATAAATTAGGAACAACATAGACTACTAGTTCACGAAAATTATTGTGAAAAATGTACAGAGATAGACAGAGACTGGCACACCCACCTACCCATAAGGGACCAAAAGTCTTTCAAATAATTCACTTTGTTCATTGCATCAATCACGTATAGAAAGAAAGAAGAGAGAAGAGAAGAGAAGAAAGAAATTGAAGGTGAGAGAGATGGAAGGCCTCATCCCTATGGTTTACAAGGCGCTGAAGAAGAAGACGACTCGCCGGCAATACAAGTGTCTCTCCTCCGGTGCTGCTCAAACCTATAACAACAACATCTCAGTTGACTTCTATGCCCAACAAGGTTACAAAAGCTATCAACTGGAAATGGCTAGTTCCATTGGTGGTGGTGGTGGTGATGTTGAATTAATGGCTAGTAGTAATGGCCGCCACCACCACCACCGACGACACAAGTCCTCCATTGGCGATTATTCCACTGGGTTTTCGGCAGCACCAGAGGATACGGATACGGATACGGTGGTGCTACACAATAAGCAGCCGCAGCCCAAGCCCAAGCTGGTGCGCTTTAGGAGCCATAGATTCTTCTCTTGTGTCACTCCAAACTCTGCATGATCAAAGATCAACCCACCCCTTCTTCAATTTTTGTGTAAAATATAATACCATATTATTGTTCTCTTTTGCTTATTAATTGTTTAGTGTTTTGGGCAAGGTCCATGTGTATAGTTTTTCTTTTTTTAATTTTTAAAAGAAGCTATTTTTCTCATTTTAGGTCTGTTTCTTGTAGCTAGCCAAGGCAGAATGCTAGTGAGAATTTGGGAGAGTGAGAGAGAACATGATTAATTAGCATGAACAAGGAGAGAGTGATAGTTTAATTTATTTTACGATCACCAAATTGAGACTTCATATCAGATACAGATCTTGTTAATATTAATATATTTACATATGTGATCCATGAAATTAATTAATCAGGTTTGTTTTGCCATTGCTCTGCAGGTGTCATTTGTCACTTATAATATAATTACCCAATTTAATTAGCTAAGCCTAAGCCTAAGCCTAAGCATAGTATCAAAAGAGTTTTTCAAATTTAATCAACTTGCCTTGAAATTAACTAAACTTATTAGCTAAGACTAAAACTAGAGACTCCAATACAGATTTGTATTCATCAGTAATGAAATTTCTAGTATGAAAGGCACACGCCTCCAAATTAGACCTCTGGATTGGAATCAAGAAAATTCAAAGTCAAAAAAACTTGGGCTAGAGCTAGGTTCCATTTGGGGACTCAAGTCATTGGTTGATCTAAAATTGACACTTAACGGTGGGTTTGATTGTGGGATTTGGAAATAGAAAGGAAAAATATATGCGAAACTATATGAAATGTAAGTATATTTTATTCTCATTTTACCTATCTTTTCTCTTTTCCTTTTTAAAACCCTTCCAAAATCTCTCAACGTTAAAAGTGTTGAAGTGAAGTGAATATACTTCTTAAACCGTGGATGATGATGTTAAAAGTGATATGGGTGGACAATTGGTTGGTTTTAGGCAATTTGCAAATTTAGTTTTAAAGCTTGAACGCGCACAGACATGTATAAATATATATATATATAGAGAGAGAGAGAGAGAGAAAAATAGGCAGAAGTGTACTATGTCCTGTGTTTAACAGCTAAGGGATTTAATGATCAAAGCCAAGCAGGAGAGGAGTTTTTGCTGCATTTCTTTTTATTTTTTGGCTGAAACAGATTGATCTGTTCTTTTGAAACCATGAAAATGACTCTATCTAGCTCAAGTGTTTTATTGGATTGTATGTTCTTTTTTATTGTTGTTGGTATATAGCTTTGTTGTTGTTTTTTGTTTTTTTGTTTTCAATTTACCTTTGTCAGAAAAGAGCTGCTCACTCTGAGCCCTTTCTTGCTCAGCCACTAAGGCCTATGGCTGGCCCGGGATGTAGCCTGATCTAGGTATCAATCCCATGATAATATTAATTGGACAAGTTTGTGTTCACATTCCAAAATAAAGCTATACGGTCAAAAAAAAAAAAAAAAACAAAACAAGAATTAACAAGAAAAAGAAGAGAAGGAAATTACAATCGTTTGCCTATAATAGAACCAAAAACAGCTCTACAACTCATGGAATGGCTGTAAACGTCTATGAACCAAAAACTAAAGTTATTGAATAAGAACAAGAGCCAACCATTTAATAATCATTGGTTAATTACTAAGGAATCGTCAGCAAGTTAGATTCAAAGAGTAGATACTATCAAGAATAGAAACATTACTGTACAATGCACATATATATATATATACCCACACACATTGAAACCTCAATAGAGATTAGGGAGGGAGGGAGATAAAGGAAGAATAAAAATATGGAAACATACTGTCTCTACTTCGGCATGCTGATGCTGGTAATGGCAAATACTCTTCTTGGCTTTGTTGCTGTTACTGCTTCTGGTGCTGGACATCTCAAGAGCGACGGGCTATGCAGCCAGTGTTCTAAAAGTGACACGAGCAGCCAATGCCCTGCAAGTGAAGCCTACCCTCATATGACCGGATATGATGACTCTCTTATTGCCGGTGCCTTACAGTCCGACTATGTCATTTCAAAAGACACAGGTATTTACTTGGTACCAAATATTAAAGGCGGCGAGTCTGACAAATATAATGCTTATTATGGCTGGGAATCTACTTCTGGTTCAGCTTCTGGCTATCACAGGTATAACTAACTGTAAATGTACAAATCTGTTGATATTCCCTACAATTAACGGACCAATCATGGTTTTAAATAATAATATCACGATATTTGGCCTGAAATGGATCCAAGCTGCATGGCTTGTAATCATATATCCAGGCCTAGGAAGCACAATATCACAAGCTCATTAATCAATCAAATCATGACCATCCTTGCCCTACCCTGCACAGAGATCGAATCCTCCTCTATCTAGATCCTCCCGTGAAGAGGCAAATGGAAAGAAAGGGGGGCTATGAACCACGGATACTTCCCGTATTGGATACCGATACTCCTAGGATACTCACAGATACATATTGGTTACATCCTAAACGTATCTGATAGTTGATATAAACTTGAAAAGTATCAAATACTTTCGGACACTCTAGGTCACATATCCAAATTATTATGAAATTGAAATTATAATAATTTTTGCATATTATTAAAGTACAATTGTTAGAACAAATGCAAGAGTAGTTATTTGATACTTTCTTTATCTTATCAAGAAGAAAATAGAAAGATTAAAGCAAGAGGTTTTATCAAATGAACATATTCATTAATTTTTCTTTTTTTTAAAGAAGAGTATATTGACTATCAAATTTATCATATATCCAGGCCTAGGAAGCACAATATCACAAGCTCATTAATCAATCAAATCATGACCATCCTTGCCCTACCCTGCACAGAGATCGAATCCTCCTCTATCTAGATCCTCCCGTGAAGAGGCAAATGGAAAGAAAGGGGGGCTATGAACCACGGATACTTCCCGTATTGGATACCGATACTCCTAGGATACTCACAGATACATATTGGTTACATCCTAAACGTATCTGATAGTTGATATAAACTTGAAAAGTATCAAATACTTTCGGACACTCTAGGTCACATATCCAAATTATTATGAAATTGAAATTATAATAATTTTTGCATATTATTAAAGTACAATTGTTAGAACAAATGCAAGAGTAGTTATTTGATACTTTCTTTATCTTATCAAGAAGAAAATAGAAAGATTAAAGCAATACTACACTCTTTTAGGTTTTATCAAATGAACATATTCATTAATTTTTCTTTTTTTCAAAGAAGAGTATATTGACTATCGAATTTTAAAAACTAATATCTAATCCTAAATAATGGTTTGTAAGTATTCTTTGAACTTATGTATGATATTAAAAATTTTAAATTTTCTTTTCAACCTGGACGTACCTGTATCTTATTTTTAGATTTTGTCGAATCGTCGTATTTGTATCTGTGCTTCATAGAAGAGGCGCTTTGAGAAAGTGGAATAGGGATCACCCTAGCCACCTATACATTGTTTCCATACATGGATGGTCCAAACTATTTTTGAATTGTTGAATCGCTTACTTTCTCAGTAGAGAAAACTAAGCTGCCTAACATAGTCCCATCCTATTCCCTGCTTGAAAGCACAGATTCCGCAACTACATGGACAAATGCTCGGGTGGACAAAGCTACCTCACTGTTGACAAGAACGGGAGAGTGAGCCTTCGTTCGTTGAGCTCACTGGAAAATTTAGCAGAGGCAGACTGGAAATCCATCAACCGACCAAAAAATTTAAATCACTGAGAATTCAGATTTTGGGTCTCTAATAGTAGTGGGAAATGCCTCACTGTTTCTGGAGGGAAGAAGGAGAAGAGAACCATGGGTGTAGCTGATTGCAAGTTCGATGGCTCCAACCCTTACCAGCTATTTGCCTTCCGCTTCCATTACCACAAAGCCTTTTGCTGTTGCGACCTTCACAACAACTAATTTCTCGGAAGCCTAAGGACAATTGTGGTAAAGTTGAATTTTTTCTTCAACTTTACCTTAATTGTAGTCGAATGGAATAAATTGATGTCTGGTGATTATCTTGTCATTTCTAATTTTTTCTCAGTTCGATCGATTATGGGACTGTTTGGTATAGCTTATGGAGCTACTTATAATTTTTTATTTTAGAATCCGTGCTAAGTGTTTGGTGTAACTTTTGCTTACAGCTTATGAGGCTGAAATAGCTGGAAAAGGCTAATTATTGAGAAGCAGTGGGAGAGGTGCTTTTAACTTCTGTTTGCTAATAATTAGCTTTTAGTTTGCTAGAAGGTGCACCAAACAGGCCCTGTGATGTACTAATGCCATTTTTTTGGAAAATAAAGAAGCTAGACAATCTTAGAGAAGTGAAGTGGTTACAGATTTCTATTTTGAATTTGGGAAGAAATATTGCTTGACTGACTTGGTTCACTTCAAGACACTGCAAATTTGGCTAAAAAATTGATTGGATATGGGATATGTTCCAATGGCTTTTCATCAAATTTAACTAAAAGTTTGATTTGGCGAAAAAACTGACCGCTCCAATCCTCACATAAAAATTTCATCAAATCCTTTTAAAAAATATCAAGCTTATCCTCAATAGCTTCTTTCATCCCAACAATTCAAGCTATTAAGTTAATCATTCAACAATTCAACATAAAAAATAAAAAATAAAAAAGTAATCAGATAAAAGTAAAAATCAACAATTTGTAAAACCCAAAAAAGAATTTCCAATGCAGTTGAAAAAACCAACAGCACAACACAACGAGCACATAACCATCTAAAACAGACATATATGTAAAGGAATCATGTAGCAAGTTAAGACATTGAAAGGAAGAAGACGAACCATAGACGAAACAATTAGACCCTTCCAAGAAACAACGACCTTGCCATCACCCCCATATCAAATCTCTCTCTCTCTCTCTCTCTCTCTCTCTCTCTCTGCGTGTATTCGTCTGATTTTGACGAAGACGATTATCCACATTCCAATTTCCAGATGCTTATATATACATTCTGTTTGGTATAGCTTATGGAGCTACTTATAATTTTTTATTTTAGAATCCGTGCTAAGTGTTTGGTGTAACTTTTGCTTACAGCTTATGAGGCTGAAATAGCTGGAAAAGGCTAATTATTGAGAAGCAGTGGGAGAGGTGCTTTTAACTTCTGTTTGCTAATTATTATTTTTAGTTTGCTAGAAGGTGCACCAAACAGGCCCTGTGATGTACTAATGCCATTTTTTTGGAAAATAAAGAAGCTAGACAATCTTAGAGAAGTGAAGTGGTTACAGATTTCTATTTTGAATTTGGGAAGAAATATTGCTTGACTGACTTGGTTCACTTCAAGACACTGCAAATTTGGCTAAAAAATTGATTGGATATGGGATATGTTCCAATGGCTTTTCATCAAATTTAACTAAAAGTTTGATTTGGTGAAAAAACTGACCGCTCCAATCCTCACATAAAAATTTCATCAAATCCTATTAAAAAATTTCAAGCTTATCCTCAATAGCTTCTTTCATCCTAACAATTCAAGCTACTAAGTTAATCATTCAACAATTCAACATAAAAAATAAAAAATAAAAAAGTAATCAGATAAACGTAAAAATCAACAATTTGTAAAACCCAAAAAAGTATTTCCAATGCAATTGAAAAAATCAACAGCACAACACAACGAGCACATAACCATCTAAAACAGACATATATGTAAAGGAATCATGTAGCAAATTAAGACATTTAAAGGAAGAAGACGAACCATAGACGAAACAATTAGACCCTTCCAAGAAACGACGACCTTGCCATCACCCCCAAATCAACTCTCTCTCTCTCTCTGCGTGTATTCGTCTGATTTTGACGAATATCTACATTCCAATTTCCAGATGCCTATATATACATTATGAACAAAATGAACACAAAACGGCGTCGTTACCATACGACATTTGAAGCGAAGGAAGCTTCAAATTCCCGAAGCAGTGCGTTAGTCAAATAGCCAGACGGAGCCTTAACATTCCGGAAACAATAACGCCTGGGCCACCGTCGTCTTCGTCTTCGTTCCCCTGCGCAGCTTTCTACAGCACTCAACCATGGCACTCAATCTCCGACAAAGACAGACCGGTAGATCTCTCTCTCTCTTTCGATCTATCGATCTAATTTTGTTGATATTCATTCACGACTTTGATTTGCAGAATGCATAACTCGAATGTTGAATCTGAACCAACCTGTGAATTCAAGTGGAACAGCGAATGAAGAAGTTTACAAGATGTTGATCTACGACAAGTTCTGCCAAGACATTCTCTCCCCTCTCATCCACGTCAAGGACCTCCGCAAGCACGGCGTAACCCTATACTTCCTCATCGACAAGGACCGCAAGCCTGTCCACGATGTCCCAGCCGTTTACTTCGTCCAACCCACTCACCTCAACATTCAGCGAATCATCTCCGATGCCTCTCGATCTCTCTACGATTCCTTCCAGCTCAATTTCTCATCCTCGATTCCTCGCCCTCTCCTTGAAGATCTCGCATCGGGGACTCTCAATTCCGACACCATCAATCGAATTTCCAAGGTACACGATCAGTACTTGGAGTTTGTAACCCTAGAGGATAATTTGTTTTCTCTTGCGGATAAGTCTTGTTATGTTCAATTGAATGATCCTTCTGCTGGAGACCGCGAAATTGAGAAAATTATTGAGAAAATTGTGAGTGGTTTGTTCTGTGTTTTGGCTACCCTTGCTGTTGTCCCTATAATCAGGTGCCCCCGCGGTGGGCCTGCTGAAATGGTTGCGTCTTTGCTAGATCAGCGTTTGCGCGACCATTTGTTGGCAAAGAATAATTTGTTCTCTGAAGGTGGGAATTTTGCTACTTCATTTCAGAGGCCGATTTTGTGTATATTTGATCGGAATTTCGAGCTGTCCGTTGCTATACAGCATGATTTTAGGTATAGGGCGCTTGTTCATGATGTTCTGGGTTTGAGGCTGAATAGATTGAGTGTGCCAGGAGAGAAGGGTGGGATGAAATCTTATGAATTGGATAGGATGGACCCGTTTTGGGTGGGAAATGGGTTGTTGGAATTTCCAGAAGTGGCTGTGGAGATTGAGACCCAATTGAATAAGTATAAGAAGGATGTCGACGAGGTGAATAGGAGGACAGGTGGAAACGAGGGGGCTGAATTTGATGGGACAGACTTGATTGGCAACACAAAGCATTTGATGAATGCTGTGAATTCCCTGCCAGAGTTGACTGAAAGGAAGCAGGTGATTGATAAGCATACTAATATTGCTACTGTTTTGTTGGGTGAGATCAAGGAGAGGTCACTCGATTCATTTGCCAAAAAAGAGAGTGACATGATGGTTAGAGGTGGTATTGATAGGACTGAACTGCTCAGTGTACTTAAAGGGAAAGGAACTAAGTTGGATAAGCTGCGTTTTGCAATCATGTACCTTATTTCTTCTGAAAGCATGCCTCATTCGGAAGTGGAAATGGTTGAAGAAGCACTCACGGAGTCTGAAGTTGATACTAGTGCATTTCAGTATGTCAAAAAGATCAAGTCGTTAAATGTTTCATTGGCTAATGCAAATTCTGCTAGTAGAAGTCACATTGTGGATTGGGCTGAGAAGCTCTATGGGCAGTCACTTAGTGCTGTCACTGCTGGTGTGAAGAATCTATTGTCTAGCGATCATCAACTTGCATTGTCAAGGACAGTTGAAGCAATGATGGAGGAGAAACCAAATCCTGAAATTGAGTCTTATCTTGTATTTGATCCTCGTGCTCCCAAGTCAAGCTCTGGGACAAGTAGTAGCCATCTGAAAGGACCATTTAAAGAAGCTATTGTGTTTATGATAGGTGGTGGCAATTATGTGGAGTATGGGAGCTTGCAAGAGCTTGCACAACGTCAACAACCAATCAAACATGTAATATATGGAACGACAGAAATTCTCACTGGTAGTGAGTTTGCAGAGCAGCTTGCAGTTTTGGGGAAGAAGATGGGATTAGGAAGTAGTGGTGCTACTTCAGCCCAGTAAGACAGACACGTCAGTTTTTAGCTTGAAGCATAGTATTTGGTGGTTCACGAGTTCATGCATTGAAAGGAAAAAAGTGCTTTCTAAAGACACCGTGTAAAACAGTCAATTATATACTTGAAGCTGTTGAATTGGAAGTTATTGGGAAGGAGTTTGGGTATACATTTGTATTTATGTTGAGTCCCAAATGATGGTTTTCTATATTGATGCACACTGTCCGTTAGGGTTATAGAAGAAAGCCTTTTTTTAATCTTCAGTGTTGAAGTGAGTAGATTTCTGCCCTTCTGTTTTCTGTTTTCTTTTTTCCTTTTTTTTTTTGGTGTTTGAAATTCTTAGAATCATTGAAATGTCTACTACCTACTTCTTGTTTCAGTCCTTTACAGTGGATGCTTATTGGAAATTGTTTTGATAGTTACAAATTAGATCATTTTTTTGTTTTGTTTTGTTTGTTTGTTTGTTTGTTTTTTTTCAAGCTTGAGATCTTAAACCATTTAACCTCAGGAATTCTTAAATCACAACCACCTAAATTGTTTGCAAGGTGCCTCTTTCACTATCATATGCTAATAATTTGAGACCTGTTGTATAGTTTTTAAGTTTTTGCAACTCAACTCAACCCAATAAAGAATTGAATTTGAATTGACACACATCCATTTTTGTAGTTTAGACATAATTAATTAATTCATCATTGTGCATGCTTGAGACCTTACACAACTGAACTCCACAGAGGAAAGATTTGAATTCCAATTACTTGGGGCTTGGGGCTTGGGGGTGGCTACAACAAGTCTTTTTGACATTTCTTTGGGAACAAGTTATTTTAATAACTTTTTGACTTTTTGGCTAAAATCTGAGGTAAAAAAAACTAGTATGTTTGGGATGATTTTTTGTTTTTTTACAAAAAGATAATCTTTTACTTTTTGGTATAGTTTATTGGTTTTTAAATGTTTTTTAGTGACTTTTTGACTTTTAAACTAAAAAATGTTATTGCCAAGTTCATTTTTATTCCAATTTGAAACCTTGTACAACTCCATTTAATCCAAACCAACACAACAATGCCCAAGATACCGACTACAAGGGGTTGGTTTCAAGAACACCTGTCCAGCTGTACCTAACAAAAAAAAATGGGCTTTACATACGTAGTGTCCGATCATTGTTAAATGGAGAGTCAGAAGGAAGAGTCCTAGAGTTGAAAGAGCTTTTACATGAAGTAACAGAGACTTAGGATTAACTTTCATAAAGCTTTGGATTCGGGATAAATGCTTTCTGCTGGCTATATAAGATGCACCAAGCTCCTCTGTTTTTTGTACTAGGGAGATGCTTTGTATAAGATAGAGAACATCAGAAGAAGATACAGGTGTATCTGCAGACCATGAATTTGCGCATGAATGAATGAATTGCCACAATATACATCAGAAGAAGATACAATTTATGATCCAAACTGAGGAAATGAATGAATTGCCACAATGTTGCAGCCTTGCAGGTGGATGGTGTGATTGGGTGATATCATACGTGGCACATAATAGGACCTCTCGTCAAGCTCATCCCCGGTGACGGAATCGGACCTCTCGTCACCGGCACCATCGAGCAGGTCATGGAAGCAATGCACGCCCCAATCTTCTTCGAGCGCTATGATGTCCATGGCGACATGAAGAGCGTGCCTTCGGAGGTGATCGAGTCGATCCACAAGAACAAGATCTGCTTGAAAGGGGGGTTCAAGACTCCAGTCGGTGGTGGTGTGAGTTTGCTCAATGTTCAGCTCAGGAAAGAGCTCGATCTTTATGCTTCCCTTGTCAATTGCTTCAATTTGCCTGGTCTGCCTACTTGCGACGAGGATGTTGATATTGTTGTGGTAAGGGAGAACACCGAGGGGGAGTACTCGGGCCTCAAGCACGAGGTTGTCCCCGGCGTCGTCGAAAGCCTCAAGGTATTGCCTTCCTATGATTGTTGATTATCAAGTTGTGAGTTTGCATACCTACCTGTTTACTGAAATCTTACAAAATTGCCATGGGTATTGCACCAAACAATTGGAAGATATAGAATCATCAAATGTAATGGAATGGAACTACATTGCAGTTAAAATTATTTCAGGGCAAATGTCTACTGATTAAAAATTTGGTCAAACCACAATTCTAAAGTTACTAAACTACACATTACATATAACAAGAGATTGTAGACAAGACTTCAAGTAAAATACTCTAAGCATAAAGGAAACAAAGGACCTTCCGGTTCAAATACAAATAATAGTTAGTGAATGGTGGAATAAAAGCACCATAACAAGACAACCCATAAGCAAAATGGTGCTCAAGAAAGGATAAGTTTCAATTTATATGCAGCAGAGACTATTGCAAATGCTTAATTAGTCACGTAGAGATGGTTTTATGTTTCAAAACATCCATGTGAGAGAAAGAAGCTAGATATGGAGGAGAACAAGAATAAATTTATCCAAACAAAGAAAATGAAGAAAAAGAAGAAGAAGAAGAAGAAGAAGAAGAAGAAAAAGAAGAAAAAGAAAGTGGAAAGGGTAGCAGATGTAGTATCTTCTTGCAATATCCAAACCTTTTTAAGGGGAAAAGACTAGATTTATTGAGACAATTCCAAAAGATCTAGCCTTTGGTTTCCCCAAGATTCTGCCACCATCCTGAAAATAAATAATTGATAATATTTGAACATCTTCATCTTTGTCATTACATGAGAGTTTTTGATGGTGTAGAGAGATTCAAGTTGTGGTTAAAAGGAACATTACTAGTATGCTTTTTGTTTTGGCCTAGGGGGACTTCTTCTTCTTCTTCTTCTTCTTCTTCTTCTAATTTGATTTAATTTTTTGGATTGGCAAGACTTTTCCTTTTTCTTTTTCGTCTTTTGTTGAGTTTTTTTGGGGTAGTTGTATATTGTTTTAGTTATATAGGGGATGCTTGTTTTTTTCTTTTTCTTTTTTTGAGATTCTAAGATTGTATACAACATGTATAGAGGGTTGTGCCCTTTATGATGGTGCTTTTTTAATTAATAGGTTCTTTTACTAAAAAGAATGTTTAAAAATGTTATTACAACTTTACTTTAACAAGCTAATAAAAAACCTTAACTGATGTAATAAATTAAAACCTATCAGAAAGAAATACTTATTGTATACTTCTCTCGATCCCACGTCTCCCAAACTCCTGTGTAATTTTTTTTCTTCAAATATTGTAACAGCTTTCTCATGCTAAAAGTATTCATCTGGTATATATTCATTTGAAAATAGTGTTTTATGTTCTTAATTTAGCTCATTTTACTTTTAGTACTGCTGGACAACTTTTTTGTATTGAGATCTGTTTCCTAATAATGTCAAGTATGACAATCTTTCATAAATTTTCTGTGATTCTGCAAGTATAATATTGCTCACTGAGCCATTCTGCTAGGTGATGACAAAGTTCTGCTCAGAATGGATTGCAAAATATGCCTTTGAGTATGCTTACTGTACGGGGAGCAAATATTCCGGCGAGCCCGTACTCCTTTCTTCCGAGCTCCGTTACTGTCTGATCACCTGCGAGCAAATAACGATGGGCTACCCAACGGTGTGTGGCCAGAAAACCCCTCCGACGATCAAGTTAGAACACACACAGGGGATAGATAGAGAGAAGGGAGAGTGTTTAGAGTTTAGTGTATGTTTCACCAAATGTTCATCTGTCGCGTATGGGGGGCGCAGACATGCTCATATACCCTCTGTGCCCCATATTTACTCCCAGTCATCTCCTGACACGTGGCTCCGCTATCCCATCTGTCAGCATAAACCTTGCTGAACATCACCTAATCTCAACTGCCTGCCATCACAGCTGGAGCTCGGCAGCCGAGCTGCTCTATCCGTTGCTGTGCCGTGCCGTGCTTCATACCCAAGCACTTCGCTGGCTAAGACCAAGGAGGACCGGGCTAGGCGGCATCTTGGCAAAACCCAGCCCGAGGCACCTCCTGTGGTCGGCCTTTCTGCCGGTCAAACAGTTACCTCGGCTGACCATGCCTTTCCGGGCGCCGGTCACTCAGCTTGTCTGGCTTCGGCCATCCCCTGATCGAGCAGCTCGGTCCGACCGAGCACTGCCTTGCCGAGCAGCTTCTTTACAGTCTGGGGCGGCACACACTCGGCCCAAGTTCTGGCAGCCCATCTCTGGGCGGATAGTCGATCATCTCGGCCCCATGCACCGTTGGGCTCTCAACCTGCTCGGCCGTTACCTCGGCCCAACTCCAGATCATAAATCACCCTCTCACTTACCTTAACAACAGAAAGAAAGTGACAGCTGTGCATAAAGCCAACATTATGAAACTTGCTGATGGTCTGGTTTTAGAATCTTGCCAGGAGGTCGCAAGGAAGTAGCCTGGTATCAAGTACAATGAGATTATTGTAGACAACTGCTGCATGCAACTTGTTTCAAAGCCTGAGCAATTTGATGTGATGGTAATGCACTTCAATAAAAAGTGTTTCAGTTCATAGATGGCCTGCACTGGTCTATTATTTTATGCTCAATGTGTTCAGCATCCAATCATATGATGCTGGATGGATATGAAGTTTTGTTATATGTTATGTTGATGCACTAGTGAGATTCCTAGTTTCGAATAAAAAAGAGGAGGATATCTTTTTTATGATCAAGCTTTAGAAGTGCTGAACTACGATAGGATGTTCTTTATGGAGAAAGAACTAGAAGAAGAACTTAGAGAAGAAATTTGGAAGCTAAAATCCGACTTTGAAGGAGTGTCATTTGGTCTTGTAAGATAAGAAGTTTTGAATATAACAGAAATATATTCCTTCTTCCTCATATTTTCGGAGTTCTTCTTCCTCATATTTTCTAAGTAATGTAATGTATAATTCTGAATGTTTTCTTCCATATGTGACATTAATCTCACTTTGATTCTATTGAAAAATCAAGGAGAGACTCAATTTTGTGGGAACTAATTCAGGAGCCGGTAACAAAACCACCATGCATTTCTTTATGTTGGGTTTATCAATGTCCCATATTACATATAACCTCTGATCAAGAATGCAAAACCTGGCCATCACGTTTGTTTTCTGGTGCTGAAGATAATGTATAAATTATATATATATATATATATTTCAGAAACTACTATTGATATCATTGGGTGTGTATTTGGAGGTTTTGTTCTTCGCTTGCAGTTTTAGGGTATGATCATATTCTTCAAGTTTTTTCCATCTAAATTTTTTGTCTTAAATTCTTTTGCAGGTTCAACATGCCTTCTCAGACTCAGAGAGGTGATTTTCTTCTAACAATATCTCATGTGTCCAGTGTTATTAACATCTCTAAACGATGTTCCTCAGTAACAATTGAATGTTGTTCATACCTTATAGTTATTTTCTTTCATTTGCTCTTTTTTTTTTTTAAATAAATTTTTTTTTTTTTTTTAAATAAAAAATTTCACTGTCAAGCTATCTCATTAAAATTATTGTAGTGTTTGTTCATTGATAGTGCAATATCCATGTACCTTCTATTCAGTTAGGATAGCAACTATTTCAGACTAGAATGTTTGATATATGTATAATTACATCTTGACAACATCTTGACATCTTTGATCATTGTCATAGGGATCGTGGATATCTTGTTCCTGATGATGTTTATGAGGTATTATTTAACATCTTGAATTGCCTATGATTTTTGGATGGTTCAGTGAGTTTTGCTTATTGTGTGGCATGCTTGCTAAGGCTGAACATACAGTCCTATCTTTTTTTTTTTTGGGTGTATTTTCCCCTATTTACTTCAGAGGTGAATTTGTCAAACCTTTAAAAACCTTCTCTAGATTCTTCTGGATGCTCTTTGATAATGCTATTAATGGATACCCACATTTCTCTTTTGATCTCTCTAACTTCTTCACCTCCTCCCCCCCTTTAACTGTAGTCTGTTGCTACATGGTTATAGGCGTTGGTAAAAATTGGATTCTCCCTCGACTCTCTTGCATTTTACACAGTCTGTGAGGTAAAGCATGTAGAATTTTTTTCATTGTAGTATGCATGTACCACATATTTGCAAAGCAATTTTCAATTTCAAACCAATTTTACTTTTTTTAATCTGGGCACCTTGGATGGTTACTTGCATGTTTATCCTTTTTTACCTTCCTAGCAAAAATGAATCTTCTCAAGCTGAGCGATAAACTACTTATGCAAGATTTGGACCAATAATTTGTTTTCCCCCATTAATTGTTCAGAGTTTCGATCAAAAGAAGAATGGAAGATTCCGGCTTGATGACTTCATATCTCTTTGTATCTTTGTGCAGTCTACAAGGTTTGTGACTATTGATATATATTTTTTCTTCTTCTTCTTCTTCTTCTTCTTCTTCTTCTTCTTCTTCTTTTTATTTTTTATTTTTTATTTTTTATTTTTTATTTTTTATTTAGTATGCATCTCAAATTGAACCTTTTACCATGAATGAAATATTGCTTGGGGCACTTGGACATGAACATTTGTGCACCCAACTTTGATGGGTTCCATCAATCTTCTAGGTTAGTTCAACCGGATGACCCATGTAGACACCTGTACACTCCATTCAGGGTGTCTGACTCAAATGGGAACCAATGAACCATCAATTAATGGACATATTAGTCCATCTTATAATATATTAAAACTTTGGATTATTGAGGTCCTCAAAGGTTTCCCAACTTTTTACCTTAAATTTGACCTATCTTTATGTTGAAAATATTTTGGTTGAGACATAGTTGCATCATGTACAAATTTACTTTATGTAGTTGGATTTACAGTTTCTCTGTATGTATTGTGTACGCCAATCCTTTGATTTTAAACAATTATTAGATTAACGTTGTGTCGATGAGTGATGGCTGCAAGTTGTCAATATTGTTAATGTATTCTTCTCTACTATTGGATTCATTATACCATTGGCAGATTGGTTACATTCATGTTTTTTATTTTGCTGGAATATGTTTAATTCATTTGATACAAGTAAGCAAGACAGTGTCAGTCTCGGTCTCAATCAATTTATATACTGCAGTGAGTATACTGACTTCATGTCATTTTGTAGTCTACTGTCACATTTAAAGGCTCCTGTGTTGTCATTTGAGCTTTCCTAAACTGAGGAATACCAAACACTATCAAGTCTTTACACACACACATATTATTCTTACCTGAGTAACCAACCACCTTTTAGTTACCATCTGCATTACACAAACTTCTTGAACCAAAGCTGATGCAGGGTAGAGAACTTGAACCCCTACTATGAAATTTCTTTGTTTTTCATTATATTCATCGAGTACTAACATGTTTCACCTTGTGGTGTCCTTTCTTCTTCTATGCAGCTGCCAATTGTAGAATATGATGCCAATTTCTCAACAACAGGTGAAGACAAACACATGCTGTAAATTGACAGAATTATGTTGATTATGATTTATGGAAAGGACCTTATTTATTTGTTGTTACATGTATTGTCAGGCATAGAATATTTGAGAAATTCTTTGAGATACAGTCTTATTGATCAAATGGCTAGTGTAATTCATCTGAGTGTGATACTTGATATTCGGTTCTGATGTGTTTTGTTTTGGTTGAATTTTTCCTGTGGTATAATACAATCTTGGTGCTTTTTTATTTTTTCTTTATGGGAGTGTCATCTTAGTTAAACGTTTAGCAAGTATATTGTGAGCCTTTACTCACCTCGGCCAGCAGCATTCCGGCTTCATGAATGGATCTTTCGCATCAAGAGCCCATAGCTCTAACTTGATTTTCAAAACATACTTGAAAATGCCATTGGAATGGAAGTAGAATCGAGATGAATATTGAAAGGACGAGAGAGCTTACTCTTGCTTCCATTGCTACGGCACAACCATGGCCAACTCCAAGGGTAGAGCCCTTACCCTTCAAAATATCACAAAATTCTAATTTGTTGGTAATGAAAACACTGATTTAAAAAAATAAAAGGGAAGCATATGCATTGATAGGTACCTTGATTCTAGAATCTAGGTGTTTAAACATTGGGGCATTGTAATGACTAGAAATGAAAGAAGAAGAAATATAGAAGGAAAAGAGTTTATTGGTGCTCTTATTCCAATCCAACGACTGGTTACAAAACAATACAATGAAAGAATTGGACAATGTATTCCCTCCTATATTTATACACATAACCACCTCCTAACCTAATAGATTCAGTAATTGTAACCTAACAGATTCAACAATTGGAATTACAAGAATAGCCTTCCCAATTAACTTGTTCATAACAGGCATTCTTCAGCACATCCAATAGACCACAAACCTGATGTGGTTTGGTATTCCTTATAAATTATGGGTTTCTAAATGCCCTACTTATAAATACATTGTTTAACAAATTTGAAGATAATAACACACATACTTTTATTTTACAAAAAAATGATGTACACTCATATCAAACTTATTAACAAATACTTTATATTTATTCATAAAAATTAATAGAACTATTAATATATAGAAATACACGAGCAGATCATAACTATTGTTCTCAAATTATTAATACAATTGATTTTATTAGTGGTAAAGAAGGCAATAGAACCATGGTTGAAGAAGCAAAATAGAATTAATAAAGCACCACCTTTCATAAGTGGGGGTTTTGGATGAAAAAAAAAAAACCTTGGAGGCATATTCATACATAATGTGATCTTTAGTCACAAAAGGGGGAATTTTTTTTTAATTTAATTTAATTAATTATTTTTATTTTTATTTTTATTTTTATTTTTTTCTAGAGATGGGAATGAATACAGGAAAAACCAAGCTTCTGTAAACGTGGAAATGAACATAAAATGGAAATGAGATTTTGAGGCTACAATAATCTTAGTTGCGAGGCTTGGGACTTGCTAGTCACTGCAATAACAATTATGGTGACCCGGCTGCAAATTGCTCGCAGAAATTTTGAACAAGGTTATTACAAGAATATATAGTCATAGAAGAAGATAAATTTCAATAGCTAATTAGCCTTCCCGAAGGCCATATAGAAGCTGCAATTTATAGAACTGCCCAGAGTTCTCCAGTAAGAAGGCTAAACTTCCGGTGCAGTGACAGGACGGAAGGAACTTTAACAGCCTGTATTCTTGATGTTAAGTCATCAACATTGGGTCCGGTATGTTCTTTAGCTGCATTGAGTATTGTCTGCAAGATTTGAAGGGGATCACCATGGCTGACGACCAAGATTGCGCAGCTGCAACACAAAAGCACTATTATTTCACATATCAAATTATATAAAAACATGGCGAAATTTGAAAATTAAGACATGCTATTTCAAGCAAAGAATTACAAGACAGAACTGGTAAACAGTGTAGTTATAATTGGCATAATTATGACTGGGAGCTAGTTTACTAGTCCAAGAGTAGCACAAGTTAACAACTCTCCCAAGCTACATGATCCAGTTTTTTTACCAAACCATGTAATTTTAAATCATATTTCCAAAATCCAAGAAATTTTTAACTTATTTCCCAAACCCATGCTGTTTTGTGAAGAACTGTTTTCAAAACATGATTAAGCTTGAAGTTGTGTTTTGAAAACACATCCATGACTAGCACCAGACTTGCCACTTTGCTGCTAGTCCTTGTGTGCCAGAAACCTCCCATATATCGCTCATCAGGCCTCATTTAAGACGTAGAAAAAGATGCCCACTATTTGACCCTTGAAACACAGACCTAAAGACAAAAGAAGAAAGAATTTTTACCCTTGAAACTCCGACTCAATGGTTATCAAAGCACTTGTCAGTCTAGAAACGACATCTGAAACACTTTCTCCACATTCTGGCTTCATGAATGGATCTTTCGCATCAAGAGCCCATAGCTCTGAATACTGCTCATGATAGAGCACAAATTCAGACTCAAATGTTAACAGTATAGTAGCATAGTACTTATAATGAGTGCTAGACCCGGAATCAAATCAACTCTGCATCAATTAACTCCAATAAACAAATGCATACAAGAAGTTCAAGGATTGAAAGCCCATCAATCTGCCTCTTTCACTTCATGTAAAATCTGTATTTAGTCCCTCGAAGAAATTACGTACTTTATCATGAGATGTAAGAAACGCTCCTGGAGATCTTCTATCATCTGGCCAGAAAATTTAATTGAAGAGTCAACCAAAGAGAAAATAACAAAAGCTCTTTTTTGGGTACAAGATAGCAAAAGCACAGCACAATTTCAAAAATAAATAAATTGTTCACATTACGCTACGGCAGAAGTTCCAGAGAATTGAGACAACCACAAGGGCAATACATTTGTAAAATAACAAAACAACAGCTACACATGCATTTCAATATTAAAACTTACTTCATGAAATAAATCTGTCAAGATTCGATACCTAACCTTACATTGAGGACCTTCAAAGGGGATATTCAAAACAGATGCAACAACTTTAGCAGTGCGTCTAGTTCTTGAAAAGGGGGAGTAGCAAATTCGGACATTTTCAAGTGGTATTTTATTTTCCTCCAGTTCCTGCACATAATTTGTTTCTCCTGTAAAACTCAATATATACGTACAGAAACATATTAGTAAAAGAGAGGTACCAAGGGAATGCATACTTCCATCCACATGGACAAGTCTTTCTTTCAGGCACATTAAAAGATAATAACAGAACTAATCATGATCAAAATCAGAAATTCATTCAAGAGGAGCAAAAATCTAAAAAAACCTTTCTTGAGGTTTCTCACAATCGAAAGGACTTTCTCTATGGTCCACAATGGCCAAGTATAATGAAGATGAACTGTTTTGAGAAATAAAGTTTAGCAACAATTTATGATCCAAATTGAGGAAATGAATGAATTGCCACAATGTGCAGCCTTGCAGGTGGATGATGTGATTGGGTGATATCATATGTGGCACATAATAGATCCACTGGGAAACTTGTGGGAGATATCCACACATGAATACCTTACAAATAAGGTAAACCTTGGTGTAGATCTGTGTTATTTTCCACCTTTATCTGTTACTGCCAAATCTTCAATTAAGACTGTTTTGCTGATGCTAACTATAGCCTTTTCTAGCTTTTCACCCCCTTACAAGGTAGAAAATGTAAACTAAATTGGTAAACCTAAATTGGTAAGAAGGTAGAAAATGACACATGTCAATTGGTAAACTAAATTGGTAACCTTTAAAACTAGGATTATCTACTTGACTAACTATACAATTTGGCCTGATCAATTTTACGGGCTTTTGGTTCAAGTAGTATTATGGTTGGTAATCCGTAAGACCCAACCAAAACCTAATATGGAAGATTCTCTAGCGTAAGAATCAGCCCAACTATAGAAGTTTTAGCAAATTTAGAAAATACATAGAATACAAGTAAAAACAGAGAGACAGAGAGAGCGTAAATAAAATGGTCTAAAGTTACTTGTCAAAAAAAAAGGGGTCTAAGCAACACCAATAGAAAGGTAACATCTTCACCTAACAAGTACTCGTACTTATAGATCATTTCCAATCCTTCATCTTTCTTTTCTTTATCTTTTTTTTCTTTTATTTTTCATCAAATTTGGCAAAAAAATTGGTTGGATACAGGATATGTTCCAATGGCTTTCCATCAAATTTAACTAAAAGTTTGATTTGGTGAAAAAACTGAATGCTCCAATCCTCACATAAAAATTTCATCAAATCCTTCTAAAAAATTTCAAGCTTATCCTCAATAGCTTCTTTCATCCAATTTGGTGAAAAACGTGTTTTTTTCTTGATTTGATGAAAATTTTGGTAAAAACTTGATTTGATACAAGCTTGATGAAATGATTGGACGTCATTTTCACCAAAAATTTCATCAAACTTAAATTTCATACAAGATTTGGTGAAGGATTGGATGCTCTTACATCAGCTATACATTCTAGATCACTTTTTAGAAATGTTAACTTGAGAAAGCTGTGTTGGCCTTGGAGAACCACAGCAAGTATTTGTAGGAACACCTACCATTTCGAATAATTCTCCTGCCAAAAGTGCTTGATTAACACCTTCAGGACCTAATTTATATTCCTCCAGTGTGCCATTTTCCTGTTAAGATACCAGTCACTATTTAATAAAATTGATGGCTGCTGTAATAATAGAAAAGTCATGTTGAACCATGTAACTACATAAACCACATGAAAATTGATTAAACCCAAACAAAAAGAATCTTCAATGTAAATCTTCCACATTATTTAAATTAATCTTGTGTGCATTATTAAAATTTTCACTTTATAATATATTTGGAAGTTGAAGACATAACCTGAGAGCACTCCTCATATCTAAGTTAGATCAATAAAGATGGGAGTCGAATAAGACATGTAAGGATAAAGTTTTATTTTAATGCTTATAAAGTTATAAACTGAATGAGCATTACGGAGCCGTTCTATATGCAGATAAAAACTCGCATTTTTCATGTTCAAAATAGGGAAAGGACACTCCATTATTCAGTCAAATTTTGATAATTCATTTGTTATCATACAACATTTGAAGTAGAAGGAAGGTACAAGTTCCCAAAGCACAACAACACTAAACAAACACGTGCGTTAGTCAAATATAACAACAACTTGGCATCTAAACGGAGCCTTACCTTACCAAAAACAACAACGCCACTGTCGTCTTCGCCTTCATCTTCATCTTCGTCTTCGTTTTCTTTCTCCTGCGAAGCTTTCTACAGCACTCAACTATGGCACTCAATCTCCAACAAAGACAGACCGGTAGATCTATCTCTAGATCTCTCTCTCTCTCTAGATCTATCGATCTAATTTTGTTGATACTCATTCATGACTTTGATTTGCAGAATGCATAACTCGAATGTTGAATTCGAACCAACCTATGAATTCAAGTGGAACAGCGAATGAAGAAGTTTACAAGATCTTGATCTACGACAAGTTCTGCCAAGACATTCTCTCCCCTCTCATCCATGTCAAGGACCTCCACAAGCATGGCGTAACCCTATACTTCCTCATCGAAAAGGACCACAAGCCTGTCCACGATGTCCCCACCGTCTACTTTGTCCAACCCACTCACCTCAACGTTCAGCGAATCATCTCCGATGCCTCTCGATCTCTCTACGATTCCTTCCAGCTCAATTTCTCATCCTCGATTCCTTGCCCTCTCCTTGAAGATCTCGCATCCGGGACTCTCAATTCTGACTCCATCAATCGAATTTCCAAAGTACACGATCAGTACTTGGAGTTTGTAAACCTATAGGATAATTTGTTTTCTCTTGCGGATAAGTCTTGTTATGTTCAATTGAATCATCCTTCTGCTGGAGACCGTGAAATTGAGAAAATTATTGAGAAAATGAATAGCGAATGAAGAAGTTTACAAGATCTTGATCTACGACAAGTTCTGCCAAGACATTCTCTCCCCTCTCATCCATGTCAAGGACCTCCACAAGCATGGCGTAACCCTATACTTCCTCATCGAAAAGGACCACAAGCCTGTCCACGATGTCCCCACCGTCTACTTTGTCCAACCCACTCACCTCAACGTTCAGCGAATCATCTCCGATGCCTCTCGATCTCTCTACGATTCCTTCCAGCTCAATTTCTCATCCTCGATTCCTCGCGCTCTCCTTGAAGATCTCGCATCGGGGACTCTCAATTCCGACTCCATCAATCGAATTTCCAAGGTACACGATCAGTACTTGGAGTTTGTAAACCTAGAGGATAATTTGTTTTCTCTTGCGGATAAGTCTTGTTATGTTCAATTGAATGATCCTTCTGCTGGAGACCGCGAAATTGAGAAAATTATTGAGAAAATTGTGTGTGGCTTGTTCTGTGTTTTGGCTACCCTTGCTGTTGTCCCTATAATCAGGTGCCCGCGCGGTGGGCCTGCTGAAATGGTTGCGTCTTTGCTGGACCAGCGTTTGCGCGACCATTTGTTGGCAAAGAATAATTTGTTCTCTGAAGGTGGGAATTTTGCTACTTCATTTCAGAGGCCGATTTTGTGTATATTTGATCGGAATTTCGAGCTGTCCGTTGCTATACAGCATGATTTTAGGTATAGGGCGCTTGTTCATGATGTTCTGGGTTTGAGGCTGAATAGATTGAGTGTGCCAGGAGAGAAGGGTGGGATGAAATCTTATGAATTGGATAGAATGGACCCGTTTGGGTGGCAAATGGGTTGTTGAAATTTCCAGAAGTGGCTGTGGAGATTGAGACCCAATTGAATAAGTACAAGAAGGATGTTGACGAGGTGAATAGGAGGACAGGTGGAAACGAGGGGGCTGAATTTGATGGGACAGACTTGATTGGCAACACAGCATTTGATGAATGCTGTGAATTCCCTACCAGAGTTGACTGAAAGGAAGTAGGTGATTGATAAGCATACTAATATTGCTACTGTTTTGTTGGGTGAGATCAAGGAGAGGTCACTTGATTCATTTGCCAAAAAAGAGAGTGACATGATGGTTAGAGGTGGTATTGATAGGACTGAATTGCTCAGTGTACTTAAAGGGAAAGGAACTAAGTTGGATAAGCTGGGTTTTGCAATCATGTACCTTATTTCTTCTGAAAACATGCCTCATTCAGAAGTGGAAATGGTTGAAGAAGCACTCAAGGAGTCTAAAGTTGATACTAGTGCATTTCAGTATGTCAAAAAGATCAAGTCGTTAAATGTTTCATCGGCTAATGCAAATTCTGCTAGTAGAAGTCACATTGTGGATTGGGCTGAGAAGCTCTATGGGCAGTCACTTAGTGCTGTCAGTGCTGGTGTGAAGAATCTATTGTCTAGCGATCATCAACTTGCATTGTCAAGGACAGTTGAAGCATTCATGGAGGGGAAACCAAATCCTGAAATTGAGTATTATCTTGTATTGATCCTCGTGCTCCCAAGTCAAGCTTTGGGACAAGTAGTAGCCATCTGAAAGGACTATTTAAAGAAGCTATTGTGTATATGATAGGTGGTGGCAATTATGTGGAGTATGGGTGCTTGCACAATGTCAATAGCCAGTCAAACATGAAATATATGGAACGACAGAAATTCTCACTGGTAGTGAGTTTGCAGAGTAGCTTGCGGTTTTGGGGAAGAAGATGAGATTAGGAAGCAGTGGTGCTATGTCAGCCCAGCAAGACAGGCACGTCAGTTTTTAGCTTGAAGCATAGTATTTGGTGGTTCACGACTTCATGCACTGAAAGGAAAAAAGTGTTTTCTAAAGACACCGTGTAAAACAGTCAATTATATACTTAAAGCTGTTGAATTGGAAGTTAATGGGAAGGAGTTTGGGTATACATTTGTATTTATGTTGAGTCCCAAATGATGGTTTTCTATATTGATGCACACTGTCCTTTAGGGGTATAGAAGAAAGCCTTTTTTTAATCTTCAGTGTTGAAGTGAGTAGATTTCTGCCCTTGTGTTTTCTATTTTTTTTTTTTTTTTTTTTTTTGGTGTTTGAAATTCTTAGAATCATTGAAATGTCTACTACCTACTTCTTGTTTCAATCCTTTGCAGTGGATGCTTATTGGAAATTGTTTTGATAGTTACAAATTGGATCATGTTTTTGTTTTGTTTTGTTTGTTTGTTTGCTTTTTTTTCTTTTCAAACTTGAGATCTTAAATCATTTAACCTCAGGAATTCTTAAATCACAACCACCTAAATTGTTTGCAAGGTGCCTCTTTCACTATCATATGTTAATAATTTGAAACCTGTTGTATAGTGTTTGAGTCTTTGCAACTTAACTCAACCCAATAAAGATTTGAATTTGAATTGACAAGCATCCATTTTTGTAGTTTAGACATAATTAATTAATTCATCATTGTTCATGCTTGAGATCTTACACAACGGAACTCCAGAGGAAAGATTTGAATTCCAATTACTTGGGGCCTGGGGGTTGCTACAACAAGTCTTTTTGACATTTCTTTGGGAACAAGTTATTTTAGTAACTTTTTGATTTTTTGGCTAAAATATGAGGTAAAAAAAACTAATATGTTTGGCATGACTTTTTGGTCTTTTACAAAAAGATGTGCAAAAAGTAGAGAGAAAATGAAATCTTTTACTTTTTGATATATTGGCTTTTTAATTTTTTTTAGTGACTTTTTGATTTTTAAACTAGAAAATGATATTGCCAAGTTCATTTTTATTCAAATTTGAGACCTTGTACAACTCCATTTAATCCAAACCAACACAATAATGCCCAAGATACCAACTACAAGTGGTTGGTTTCAAGAACACCTGTCCAGCTGTCCCTAAAAAAAAAAATGGGCTCTACATACATAGTGTCGGATCATTGTTAAATGGAGAGTCAGAAGGAAGAGTCCTAGAGTTGAAAATGCTTTCACATGAAGTAACAGAGACTTAGGATTAACTTTCATGAAGCTTTGGATTCGGGATAAATGCTTTCTGCTGGCTATATAAGATGCACCGAGCTCCTCTGTTTTTTGTACTAGGGAGATGCTTTGTATAAGACAGAGAACATCAGAAGAAGATACAGGTGTATCTGCAGACCATGAATTTGCACATGAATGAATGAATTGCCACAATGTACATTAGAAGAAGACACAATTTATGATCCAAACTGAGGAAATGAATGAATTGCCACAATGTTGCAGCCTTGCAGGTGGATGATGTGATTGGGTGATATCATATGTGGCACATAATAGATCCACTGGAAAACTTGTGGGAGATATCCACACATGAATACCTTACAAATAAGGTAAACCTTGGTGTAGATCTGTGTTATTTTCCACTTTTATCTGTTACTGCCAAATCTTCAATTAAGACCGTTTCTTGCTGATGCTAACTATAGCCTTTTCTAGCTTTTCACCCCCTTACAAGGTAGAAAATTTAAACTAAATTGGTAAACCTAAATTGGTAAGAAGGTAGAAAATGACACATATCAATTGGTAAACTAAATTGGTAACCTTTAAAACTAGGATTATCTACTTGACTAACTATACAATTTGGCCTGATCAATTTTACGAGCTTTTGGTTCAAGTAGTATTATGGTTGGTAATCCTCAAGACCCAACCAGAACCTAATCTGGAAGATTCTCTAGCATAAGAATCAGCCGAACTACAGAAGTTTTAGCAAATTTAGAAAATACATAGAACACAAGTAAAAACAGAGAGACAGAGAGAGCCTAAATAAAATGGTCTAAAGTTACTTGTCAAAAAAAAAAGGGTCTAAGCTACACCAATAGAAAGGCAACATCTTCACCTAACAAGTACTCGTACTTATAGATCATCTCCAATCCTTCATCTTTCTTTTCTTTTTCTTTTTTTCTTTTTTTTTTTCATCAAATTTGGCAAAAAAATTGATTGGATACAGGATATGTTCCAATGGCTTTTCATCAAATTTAACTAAAAGTTTGATTTGGTGAAAAAACTGAATGCTCCAATCCTCACATAAAAATTTCATCAAATCCTTCTAAAAATTTCAAGCTTATCCTCAATAGTTTCTTTCATCCAATTTGGTGAAAAACGTGTTTTTTTCTTGATTTGATGAAAAATTTGGTAAAAACTTGATTTGATACAAGTTTGATGAAATGATTGGACGTCATTTTCACCAAAAATTTCATCAAATTTAAATTTCATACAAGATTTGGTGAAGGATTGGAGATGCTCTTACATCAGCTATACATTCAAGATCACTTTTCAGTAATGTTAACATGAGAAAGCTGTGTTGGCCTTGGA